TATCGTTTTATACATGATATTGTGAAAGATAAAATCGCGACTATTCATTATTGTTCGACAGATAATCAAATTGCAGATATTTTTACTAAGCCTTTAGCACGGATTAAATTTCAAGAACATAAACTTAATTTAGTATACTGAAACTTTAACTGTTATAAAAAAAAAGTTAAAATTAAAAAAAAATTAAAGGTTTATAAAAAAAAATAAAATAACTGCAAAATTAAGGGATAGTATTGTAAAGAATAATTTTGCATGTATTGTAATTTTATAAGAGATAAGTTAGTTGCAAGATCTTTTGTCTTTTATATTCTACTATTTTTTTCTCCTGGGTTACGTATGTTGTTTATTGTAAACCACGCTCACTCTTGTAACAATCTTGACACTGAGGACATGTAAAACCTTTGCGCTTAATAAAGTTCGCTTATAATTAAGACACTGCAAATCTGTGGCTTAAATTTATTTTATCAGATTCAACCAATCATATTGAACGGTTTCGCTAGATTGCGTTCGGAAACATCACCCGAGTACCCTTCTTTATCATTTTATCTTCTGTCGTAAGCAAGCGTGCTTCTCATTGGTCTCTCAAGTTAGTAGTTCAATGTCCACTTTCCAGAGGCGCTGAAACCAGCTCAATCACTCTCGCAGCTAAATCGCGGGCATGGCCGCTCTTGGGATCCTCTCTGCCATCGAGCATCGACTATCGAGTGACGTTACATTCCGTGAATTTATCCATTTATTACTATGCACGTGGAGATGTGCGGAGTGTGAAAATACGGTGTTTATTAAATTTAAGGTTACGATATATCTCATATAAAAGAAATTGTTATAGCCTAGGAAATTGCGATTTGATGTTTGACATACAAAGGAATATGGGATTACAGCGTTTTACCGTGAATCTAGATTAAAAGAAATAATTTATAAGGATCAATTAGTTTCAAAACCCGCGTAGAACGTGAGTATGAGAACGACATAAGGGTAACTGTCCCTATTAGTGTGCTTTATATTTAAATAAGTCATAAAAATAAACTGGTGCAAATAAATAGACAAAGTATTTTTTTTTATTAAGTTAAAGTATTAACTTTATTATAGGTACTTTATACAGTTTATTTTTATGACTTATTTAAATATAAAAGCATACTAATAGGGACAATTACCCTATTCTTGTTTCGCGGTAAAACGCTTTTCTCATTAATTTTCGTGTTTCGCTAAACCATTGCACATTTCGATTAATGATAAAAGTCTATCTATTTGTCTAGGATTTAAAAAAATGGTAAGACATAACAATCAATTACCGGATAATCTTCCACAACTGCAGAATCTAATCAAACGCGATCCAGAGTCTTACAAGGAAGAGGTAAAGTCATATATCTTTACTACATTTTTCTATATTATATTCTTGTAAATGAAATATAAAGTCATATCTTTACTACATTTTTCTATATTATATTCTTGTAAATGAAATATGGATTCTTCCAAAGTTGATTACAATTTTATCTTATATATTCCTTTAATTCTCCAATCAATTTTTTACAAAACTAAGGCATATGTGGACATATGCATCTTTTATCTGCTTCATATTTTATTCTTTCTTCATTGATATATTAGCTGCCCTATCAATTGTATGTGTATATACACTGGTCCAAAAAAATTAAAGGATCACCTGTTCTATCCTCTAAAAATAGGCAAACTTCAAGATAGAGCAACTTCATAAAAAATGATCGTATCGAGATGTTCAAAAAAGCTTTACAGCTTGAAATCTCTACTTTCCAAATCGATACTTTAGAAAACGATTCTGCTGATTTTTCATGGAATTACATGGATAGAAAAGGAGACCCGACGAATCTCAAAATTTTTTGCAAACTTTGACAAGTTTCATGGCGTGGAA